AACTATTGGTGTTTCTTGCTATTCTTATGTTCATGTAATTTAAAATTTGGTTTTCATTTTCTTCTTCGTAAGTGAATTTGATGTTATTATGGATGTTGTTTATGTGTTGTAGAAATGATTGTTGATGGTCGTTATTTTTGAAGCTACAAAATACATCGTCGACGTATCTAAACCAGTATGTGGGAGGGAATAGAGCTGTATTGATGGCCAGACCTTCTATTTTATCAAAGAAATGAATCAGATAGACTATAAAATCGACAACATAAAAAACAAAGCCAGTAATACAGTTAACTTATCAAAAACAACCCTAACACCAACGCAAGAAGAAAGTTTAAACAAGGGCCTAAAATACGCAATGACACAAAAAATTGTTCCCGTCTTAGGGATCAAAACTGGAATAGAAGATTTAACTACAAGATTAGTGCAATAATCAATAAGAGATAAACAAAGAACTAATACAACAAATAAAAGTCACACAACCACTGAAGTTAATGAAACAGATATCGATCATCAAGAAATGAAAACGGACGACGAGAGCACGAAGATATTTCAAGGCAAAAAAATAACAGAATGTGATTCCCTAAAATACTCAAAGACAACCAAAACCTATATGATTTCACTCAAGAAATTTCATGTACAATTCAAGGGTATTTACTGAAAAACCATAAAATTAAACAAAACATCACGAAAGCCAAATATCAGCCCTTAAAGAATTAAGAAATAACCCATAAATTATTATTGTAAAGGCTGATAAAGATGGAAAAAACTGTAATTATGGAAACAGAAGATTACAACAACTTAATGGAACAATATCTAAATGATTCCACCAAACTTAAAGAACTAACCAAAAACCTTAATGATTGTTATGGAAAACAACTGAATGGCTTACTTTTAAAGTTAAAAAACAACAATGATATAATCGAAGACATGTACAACATCTTAAGAGTAACCAATGCACGTACCCCTTGGTGCTCCAAAAATTCATAAAAACCCAATTGACATCCGCCCTATACTTTCAACTTATGCCAATTATAATCATAGTCTCCATGTATATATACTATGATACCAATAGAGGAAGCAACAAACCTAGCTCTAGAATTGTTATAAAAAAATTCTAAAATATTGAATTACAACCTGAATTTAGAAATTTTGAAAACTTTCTTTCACTTTGCATTAAAAATAAGTTTTACCTGTCAAGGTAAAATATGTGAACAAATTGATTGACTAAGCAAGGGAAGCCCCGAACAATTCGCACAATCCAGGCGATAATTACCAAAATAGAAAGTCTGTCCATCAATACAGCTCTAAACCATCCCACATACTGGTTTAGATACGTCGACGATGTATTTTGTAGCTTCAAAAATAACGACCATCAACAATCATTTCTACAACACTTAAACAACATCCATAGTAACATCAAATTCGCTTACGAAGAAGAAGATGAAAACCAAGTTTTAAATTACATGAACATAGCAATAGAAAGAAACAATAATAGTTTCAACACCAAAATCTATTACAAGCCATGTAATGACAGCAACAAAATGAAGTGGGACTAAGCCCACTCCACACAACAAAAAATCGGCACATTATTATGTATTTACAACATAGCATTTAAAATATGCAGTGACATAAATCTACAACACGAAGTTTATAAATGTCTCGGATATTGTTTCTAGAAAAAGTAATTTCCCTAAAC